CCTCGCTGCTAATTGGATGCCAGGACCAGGTAATCTAATTCACATCTAATGGATTTCCCTGGATGAAAAGAAACTTGCTTGTTTAGCAAGCGGAGGTTGGCAATTAAGGTTATCCCCTAGTGAGAAAACTGCAAAGCGCCGAGCCAGTTGGCTCCATGAGGAGGACAGAGCAACTAAGCCAAGGAAGGAATATTGTTCTCTATTGTTTGATCTTAATGAGGCTGCTGATGCGGAGGATGATAAAGCAGCGGATGGATCACACAATTCCAGTGATCTCAACAGTTGATCATGATGAAGAACTAGGCCTGACAAATAGGCTGTTATCCAACTCAACATCATCATCAGTATCCCATGAGCTGCTAAATTTTGTCGATGAGGCCATTATCTTTAAACCTGTTGATTTTGGTCCCATCAGACGCAATATATCCAGCTTGATAACGAAAAAGTTTTGCAGCATCATTGGCAACAGGGTGACGATTGAGATTGTAGATGAAGCTCTGAACAAGATTACAAGTGGGGTATGGATAGGCCGAATTGGATTAGAAGAATGGACAGAGAAAGCATTGGTTCCGAGTTTACGACAACTGAAAACACGATTGCCCACATCAGAGGAGTCTCTAGTTGTTCGACTGGAACTGATTCCGAATCCTGTAATAGAAGCAATGGAGATTGGCTTCCCAGTAGTGTGAAGGTAGTTGATGATGGATTCTGATAGGGGAATACGATATAAATAAAATATATTTATTTAGAGTGGGAAAAAATATTGAGCGAAGGTAATGAAAACTGAAAAGAAAAGAAAAGAAGGGGATAGAGTTGGTATTTTGGGGATTGAGTTGGATAGAGATGTAAATACGGTCAACTGTTTTGAGGGGTAAAGAGTTGATTAGGAGAGGGAGAGGGAGATGTTGAGAGATTAAGGGTACCCTTTATTTAAGTAATCACACAATGTCTTTATTATATTATTGTTTCATTTCATTTCCTTAATTTAATTCTCCATTATAGCCAAATAAATATGTTGAAATATCATATGAGCCATTGATGCACGTGACGTGTCTCTTTATTACTGAAACTAAATTTCACTCAACTACGCCGCATGCATTGGAAATGGATTTCCAAAGACTGATCCTCAAACCACACATTTTTCTTTTCTTTGGTAAATATAAAAAAACCATTCCTTTTTAATAATTTAAACAATCCATAGCCTATTTACTGATTAACGAATTGTATTTATTAATATAATTATAAATAATATTTACTTGTTTTCTTCTCCAACTTATATACATGCCTTTACGCTTTCTATGTCGGTCTTTTTAGCAATGAAAAAAAGAAAGAAATCCAACTACTCCACGTCCGTCTTCTTAACTTACAAATTCAGTCCAAAGCTTATTTTATCTAATAATTAGATAAGACTAACGAAAGCTTTAGATGCTAATCATCTTTAATTATTTAATTATATGCTTTCTAGTAATACTTTGTCTTAAAAGCTAATAAAACAAACCATGCATCGCATGTGGTCCATGGAATGATAATCACACATGCCAGCTCATTTGATTTCCCATCTTCTTCACTTATATATGTTCCTAACATTGAAGGGAGAGATGATAATATCTCAATCATATTTTGTACATCAAATCCCGTAAAAAAAATTAGATGTACATAACAAAGCAGCCATTTTCAACACGTTTTTTTTATTTTTTTTTATATTTCAAATGGCCAACGACATGACTCATATTTCTTATAGTTTCATAATTTTATGTAAAGAAAATCCTATAATTACATCTTATATTTGTATGCTATAATTTCTAAATAAAAAATTATCATGTATTTAAGTATACTTAATCTTTGTTTCAATATAATAATAATATCAATTAAATTAAAACCTGAATAACAATTACATCTCATATTTGTTAAAAGTAACGAAAGATGTGGAATTATTGAAGAAACGACGTGGCTATGAATATGATGATGAGGGAAGAGAAAAAAATAGTCAAAAGGAAGAAGAAACAGTGACATGCAACTGTAAAATGCTACAACCTAATATGAAACCTAATTGCGTCCAACTTATGATTGGTCCACAATTTGCCTATAATCTATACGCAACCATGATATTATGTTCCCGTAACTGGTAACTACCATGCATTGCTGACTCTATGCTTTTACCCACGACTTATTTATGAAGAATAAAACTTTTGGGTTACGCATGCAAATCCTTTTTGACTTCGATACTTTTGTTATATTTCTTTTAATAGTCAATAATTATAAAATAATATATATTCATATTCATTCTTAATTATTGATAATATGAATACACTTTACAAACGTAACTGTTTAAACCTAAAATCTCAAAAGAGAACAACACTCTATGCAATATTTAGAATACGAGGCCACTCAACGGGTTTATTTTTGTTAGAATTAAAACTCTTATTTTCAAAGTTGGCCAACAATCCAATATGTACGAAAAGAAAAAGAGGATACGGTTGCATGTGAATCATATCCAAAGTCATCAAAACCACAACTTAGCATTTTTCACGTCTTCGATTCCCGTTTTAGGGTTTCACATCTCTAGATTCACGCACGATGGAAAACGACTTTAACCAACATTTATTCATGGAATAAAAAAACAATTCACGTAGAAAATTATAAGTATATCTAGAAATCCAAAGTCCATTGGTTCAAATGGCAAAATAAGTCTAAATGAAGTTGAATATATGTAGTATAAACGTTTTTCCAAAAACAAAATATACAGTATAAACATAAATGTGCGGCCGGCGGCTAAACCTAAAGGTGATGGATTGCGTCGGACGGGTGGTCCTGCTCCACCTGAACCGGGACCCTCACACCTTCTCCCACTTGGATTGAATAGAATAGACACCTCAACTACTTTGGGTAGAATCCCCAACTATTAAAAAAGGTAGCATATTGACACTCCATTTAGCTTTCCCACCAAAATTCTAGCCTTTGCATTTATCCATTAATGCCTTTTTGACAAAATGCAATAACAATAAAACAAGCCCCACCGTTACTGTAATATTAATATATTTTTAAATTAAATAAGCATATATTTTATTAGTATATGATGATTACAAAATATCATCTACTCGAAAGATTCTTAATCATTTTACAATGAATGTTAAAACATCCTACAGACGACGTGCTCGAATTCGAGATCTCTAATGATAACAACCATCTCTTTAACCACTTATGTCATTTATTTCATACTAAATTTAAAAAATATTAAAAATATATACAAATGAATCTTTTATATTTAATAAAAACACAAACTATTAGGTATACCTAAACCCTTAAAAAGGAATGTCTTAAGAGATTAACTTATTCTCATAACATGAAGAAGTAGAGGCTGACATCCCACGTTTTATCCTACCTTTCACAAGCACAAAAAGATAAGGATTGGATTAATGTAACCTATAATCTATACCCACTTGGATCGATTTTTTTTGGGGGGTTCCTTATTATATTTTAAAATTGTTTTAAAGCAAAAAGTGGATCCACTTTAGCATAGAATAATTGGGACGATATTTATATGATTAGAATAAAATATAAAAATATGGAAACAAGTAGATGACAAAGCACAACATGCATGACCCTCTTGTTGCTCTTCTTTATGTGGATATGCACTGCAGAAATTTTGATTTAGAGCACCATACTTACCTGTTCCTTTCAATACATTTTAATTATTATTAACTTTTCTCACACATTTTGTTCAACATTTTAAATAAATAAAGAAGGATTGGGGCATGGGGAAAACATATATTAAGGGATTTGGGGACATCCCCACCCTATTGGACTCCAACTGGGGCACCCATTCCTCAATCGGTGCATGTTGTTTGCTCCCAAAACATCATTTATTTTCATTCTGACCTTTTTTAGAATTATAAATTGGTTTTAAATTCCAACATGATAAATTTTGCAAAATGCTTCACAATCTTGCAGTGGAAGAAATGTGACAAATGCTAAAATTTAAATATTAAATTTATGATGTCTTATTTTAAGAATAATCATATGAAGACTATTAGTTGGTAAAAATTTGGCCTTTCACATTATTATAGGTTTTCCTCTCTGTTAAATTTCAACTTATCTCTTTTTCCATCTTTTGATTAGTAGACACTAGTTTTGATTCTAATAGTAGTTACTAATATTTTTTTCCTTTTATTTTTATATCATAATTTTCTTTTCTTTTTTTAATTTTTATTAGTTTTATCTTTATGACACATTTTTATCTATTTTTTGGTACGTTTTTAGTCGATTGTTTAATTGTTATTTTCGTTTATCTTTTTTTTCAAAGTTAGATTTGATATTGTATTAACTGATCAAGATGATACTTATTTATTATCATGTTGATCTTTCATGCTTTGGACTCTTAGATTGGATTTGGATACACATTTTGCGTTTGTGGATAGTTTTCTCACGCTGCTCAACTATGTTTTGTTGTATGTCAGTGGCATTTCAATAGTTTAATATACTTTTTTGTTAGTTTGTCGATGTGATCAGATCTGTTCGTATCTATTTATCTTTTGTTTGAACTTTTTGGTTAAATTTTTAAGCTTCTCCTTGTATGGTCTTCGAGTGATCTTAAATAACTAATTTTTTGTGATAACGATTATATGAAAATGTCTTAATTATATATTTTATTTATGATTATGGTTATAAATCTTTATAGTGATTTGAATATTTTATCATTTTAATAAAATTATTCATTTCTATAAAAAATAATATAAACTAGTTATGTTGAAAAACTTTTTTTATTAACCTCAACATGTTGGGCATTGGACAGGATTTGGTCTCCTCGAAAGAGTTTCTTAGATGCTATGAGAGTGGGATATATTGTCCATCCTAAACCCACAATGGGTTGGTCTATGGGCTCACTTTGGGCCAACAATGAAAAGACTCCAGTATTGGTTTGTCTGCAGAGTAAGATGGTGATGAAGTCCGAAGAGAGCCCTGGCCACCATTGAGTTTCACTTGGTATTATAAGATTTAGACCCAAAAAATCTGTTAATCCAAATTATAGGATAATGTTGATAACGGTCAGAGAGGCTTCTTCTTGGCCTCTTTCCTTCAACCTCTCTTATCCCAAACCTTCAACACTCAGAAACTATGTTTGCAGAGCCAGTTTAACTGTCCACCCAAAACCCAACTCCAACTCCCAATCATGGAACCTTGGTCTTGTTTCTAACAGGTAGCTCTTCCAGATACCCTTTTGTTTGTTCTGTCTGAAAAATCATTTTTTTTTACCATTTCATGTTGATATATTTATTTATATGCTTTACACTGTACTGTAGATTATGTTTTCTAGGGAGTGGAAATTTTTTGATTTTTTAGGGTAGAAATTGCACTTTCAAGGAGTAGATGCTTAAGGCCATTATAAGATGAGAATTATGCAAAGAACTTTAAGAGCTTTGTGTACTAAGGTCGTTTACAATATCTATAAACTCCATGTTTTTAATTAATGTCTTGATGCTTTGCTGTTTTCATTGGAATTAATTCTCAGCCAAAAAGGATCTGTTTTTGATCCCTTGGGTATCAATCCAGATATCTCTTCCGGTTTAAATGGTGTTTGGGGAAGTTTTCTAGCCTTGTTAGAACCTACATTTGAGAGCACCTCAGGTACAAGAAAGGATAAATCTTCTTCAGCTCGTGGAGTGGCAGGTTTGTTTCTAAGATTTTATCTTTTGTTTATCAATTTTATCCGTCTTGGCTGTTGACATGGATCATTTGGACTTTGGCAGCTGCAATTGAGGACAGTTCCATTGAGTTTAGGGACTTCTTCAAAGGCCCATTACCAGGAAAATTTCTCAAGCTTTTAGCATTTTTAGCCTTATCCCGTCTTGGAGTTTATATACCCCTAGGAGGGGTTAACGAGAGGCTTTCGTTGGCAATCTAGATCAGAACAGTCTTCTGAGCACGTTGGATTCATTCTCTGGAGGAGGCATTGGTAGACTTGGTATATGCTCCCTCGGTATTGTTCCTTTTATCAATGCACAAATTGTGTTTCAACTCCTTGCCCAAGTTTACCCTAAATTGCAAGATCTTCAGAAAAGAGAAGGCGAAGCAGGAAGGAAGAAAGTTCTTCAGTATACTAGATATGCCTCGGTTGGTTTTGCTATAGTACAGGTAAGGAATTACATCTTAGGTGACTAATAGGCTAGCTAACTAGAAATAAAGTTTTTGTATAATTTCAACTTTATGTCTGCTCTATGTAATGTTGCCATATATGTTTGTTTGTTGTTTTCGTAAAAATGCTTGTTAACAACTAGATCTTTATTAATCTTCTAGGCTTGTTTTGCCTTTGAAGTATGAATTTTGTGCAGACTACTTCTGATAGCTAGATTTATTTCATGCATTTGAATACATCATTGTTTCTCATCTAGATGGTCCAGCTTTCTACATTTTTCTTATTCTCCACCTTACATGCTTGTGCTGATGACCTTTGCTGAATAGCATCTCTTGTGTTATTATGTTACATGGCAGGCAATTGGCCAAGTACTTTACCTTCGTCCATATGTTAATGACTTTAGCACACAGTGGGTTCTGTCTTCTGTCACCCTTTTGACGCTTGGTGCTGTACTGACGACATATATTGGGGAACGAATTTCTGATCTTAAACTGGGAAATGGCACATCCCTTTTAATATTTACAAATATTCTATCCTACTTGCCGGCATCTTTTGGAAGGACAGTTGCACAGGCATATCAGGATGGTAACTACGTTGGACTTGTTGCCATCGTTATCTCATTCTTCCTGTTGGTCCTTGGCATCGTCTATGTTCAGGTAACTCACTTTTTTTTTTGCTTAAGTGAAGTTCCAAAACTGATAGAAAATGACACTTAACTATCTCAACAAAGGATTTCAGGAAGCAGAGAGGAAGATTCCAATCAATTATGCCTCAAGATACACCAGCAGGAGCGGAGGGCTTCAGAAATCTGCTTACCTACCCTTTAAGGTATGTGTTCCAATGGTTCTTTGAAGTACACAATGCTATGATGGGCTTGACACTAATAGTTACGAAATCTTTGAGGTGGAATGAAATTAGAATGAGCACTTTGCTTGCATGAGAACTCAATGTAGAAGCATCCTTGACACCGGCTGTTAACACATAAAATGGGTTAAAATTCCAAATGATTTATGCCTGTACTAATTCTTAGGGTTGATAATCTTTTATTGAGGCGTAATCTCTATCATCATTCACTATTGTAGTCCACTGAGAGGTAGCTTATGTACAGGTAAATCTGTTTTGCTTATGGCTTGTGATCTTAATTACAATGTTGTACTCTATCATGTTGATCATGTCTTTGAAAATGGTTTTAGGAAACCCATTTTATCATAAGGAAAGCTTGAAAAAACTTAATGTGTTTCCCTAGGTGCATCTTATATACAAAGATCACATGTTTATCATTCTTTTCTTGTTTCTGTGCTCTCAAGTTGTTTAGCCATGAGTTTTGCAGTCAATTTTAATTGCATATCTTCAATAGGGGTGTGTACTTTGTCTTTCATATAATCTGGGCTTGGGAGATTGCATTTTAACATATTTGTCAAGATTTTGTATGGCAGGATGATAGATAACCCGGAAAAAAAAAGATATAGTAGTTAGATCCTTAACCACATTCTGTTGAGTCTGGTACTAGCAGCAACCTAAAAGTAGCAAGAAGTGCTATGCTGGCATTCTTCCCACCAATTTTCTTCTTGATGAAATCACAAGGCACTTTGTTAGCCTTAGATGTTGAAGACTGGTAACCACACGTATAGCTGTACAAATAAACACATATTTTGGAGCTTATTTGGAACATGCCTTAATAGACCACACCGGCAAAATAGGATCCATATAGTTGAACGCAGATAGTGTGAAACGGCTTATGCTTTATGTAGTTCTTCCTGTTGCTTGTTAGTTTCTGTAGAAAGTAGTAGTTTCTCCATCTCGTTACCACTGTCATCATTTCTCAGGAAGTTGTGTACCTAATTCCCGTGAAATGTTCTCTCTTTCTCTTTCTCTTCCGCTGTCCCTGTGCTTTCTGATAAATACATTTTTGAATATTGTGTTTATCTTGCTAGCAAATCTTTCCAACATCTTTTGATGACAGTTTATAACTTGTTTAAATTTCAGTTGCTAACCTCATAGTGTTTGATCGAACTCGGATATTAACATTTATTTAATTGGAAGTGATGTTTCTGACATTGTGATGGTATTTTTGATCATTCAAACTCTCACTGGGTGTTGTATGTGCAACTACCCTATCTTTGACATGTACTGTCTAGTCTTTGTATACAATTCAATTGCTTTGGTCAACCAGGTAAACAGTTCTGGAGTGATGCCAATTATATTTTCCACATCATCCCTAGCACTTCCTGGTACTTTGGCAAGATTTACAGGAATATCTGTGCTAAAGAAGGCTGCACTGGCTTTGAATCCTGGAGGTAAGACTAATAATTTTGACTGTTAGAAGTTCTTGAAGAATGAAAATTTATACTGGATTGATACGAGAGATTTCTTGGCTCTATAGTCCGTTATGTTTTCTGAGATAAAGCTGCCAGTTTATCGTGTAATATTTTATGTTTTCTTCAAATAGATTGCATCGACACAAATTGTGATAAAATCATAAATATAAGGGTGCTTAAAATGGATGCTTAAGCTAGTGAATTCCTTATACGTATATAAATGGATGTTATAAATGTTTGTAGGTTCTCTCTACCTTCCTACCAATATCTTGTTGATAGCCTTTTTCAATTACTACTACACTTTTCTTCAACTGGACCCTGATGATGTTAGCGAACAACTGAAGCGTCAAGGCGCTTCAATTCCACTGGTCCGACCTGGTAAAAGTACCGCAGCATATCTAAAGACGGTAATTTGCTTTACTCATATAAACTGTCATTAGTGGCTTAGTGTCTTGAACTAATTTTACAGTATGTATTGAAAACAGATTTTAGCTGAACTTAAACTGTAGTTCTAACTTGACTACATTCCTATTTTTCCATGGACTCATGTTTGCGTCTATGATTGAAATATAGGTTCTTAGTCGGATATCAGTCCTAGGTTCAGTATTTTTAGCAATCCTAGCTGCTGGTCCTGCCGTGATTGAGCAAACAACACACTTGACTGCATTCCGAGGATTTGCAGGCACTTCAGTTCTTATTCTTGTGGGATGTGCAACCGATACAGCAAGAAAAGTTCAAGCAGAGATTATATCTCAGAAGTACAAGAACATTGAGTTTTACGAAATTGACAGGTATGGCCCTTGAACGAGGTAGCAAGTTGAGGAGTGGAGGATAAGAAGAACGAGTTTTTTCTGACACATTCAACATTGATGCCTCTTATGAACATACCCCAACTACCTTTTTCTTGTTTCGAGCATAAAGTTTAACTCAGGATTTATCTTGTATATACATGTGCTGCTCCGCGACCACAATTTATATTTCCGTATCTATCAAGGTGATTGGAAACTTCTTATGTGCTTATTGATACAACTAGTATATATCAGAGACAATGCATGCACACGTGGAATTTGAAAGCATAACACGTAACTTATCCGTATTTTGGAAGCGTCTCATATGGACATGTGTCAGACACTGATATGGTCTCGAAAATCATTTACAAATGAATACAATCACACCAAGTATCACACTATCACCATTAACCGAAAATGCATTAAGACACCGGAAAACAATGTATGAAGAACCTAATGCAGAACTATATAGAGCAACAAGTAACTTGCGCTAGAAGATGACGCCATTTGCCATAAAGAATTATTACGGTTGTTATAAACAGATTCGTGAAAAGCTGGTGAGATTCAAATAAAAATCTTACAAAGTCAATACGATGAAAGAACTGTTTGATAATCTTACATGTTCAATGTGGGGGAAAAAATCAAGATCGACCTCAACGTCCCCCAAATTGTCCAAAGAGGCCACAAGCCTATCGCACAAAAATGTGGATGATCGCCAATAAATACCCTGCCAGCTGAGTTAAAACAAAAACGAAATCAATGTATCAGCAATGCAGCCAACTGAAGGGGAATTATTCTGTTTCCTTCATTTTACCTGCTCAAGTATACTTTTGCCTGTTTGTCCTTCAATAACTAAGCCTGCTGTGAGACCAATCATTGCCCACGCCCCATTAATTGCTTCGATTTGGCGTCTTCTCTAAAGATCAAGAACAGTTCCAGATAACACCTTTAAGAAAGCATTTTGATGCAAAATCATGCCCTAAGACTATGGCATCCATTCTTCCCATAAAAAACTTGTAAAATCAAAATTATATTGTTGACACACCCCTCTAGCAAACTAATGAGAAGAGAGAACAAGCAAAAATACAAAATTTTCTATTAGAAATTCAACGGGCAGTTGCATGCCAAATTCTCACTACAATAAGATCCTTTTTACCTTTATTTTCTCTTTAGCCTTAATTTGTTCCATTTGTTTGGCAGCTAACCGCTTTGCTTCCAAAGGGTCAACCATGGGGACTTCATTACCCGGATCTCTTTTACCTGAATATACCTATTAGATACGAAATGGAAAAACAAAAAACATTATCAAATACAATTTGATATAAAAAGTAGTATGTTTTCGTCTATGTTCTAGCAGTTGAATATGTGGCATACAAAGAGAGAACTGTGGAAGAAGAAATAATATTTTGTCTCTCCAAACAGCAAGCTCATTGAATAACTTGACAACAATTATCATAACTCAAGAAAAGGGAGTATGGTAGTTAGGTTGCAACTCCAACTCATTTAAAGTGATTTTAATACAATAAAGAATCTTCTGACAAAAAAATAAAAAGCAAACGAAATCAAGAAATAAGGCATGACATTAAATTATTTGATTCTGAACTAAACAGATAACATTTTAATAAACTAACTTAATATTTTGAATTGTTCGATTCTCACGTGTTAGACATTGCATACAATAGATTGAATACCTAACATCATTTACAGGCACAATCAGTGCTTTCCTCACTAAGCTATTGGCAGAAACATCTGGCCATGCTTCAATCTGTATCTTCTTTATGAATTTTTATTTGATACCAATGATTTCTTGATTTATGGCTTACAGCCACGAGTGATGCAAAGAATCAATCCATGCAACCAAAGGTAGTTAAAAAAAAAAACATTTGGTCGTGGACATTTTTCATAAAGCACAGGAAGAAATAAATACCATTTCTGTCTCCATACAACGATATGAAAATCAAGTGATAACACAATGATAAGGCCACTTTAAATTATGTACCATCATGAACACAGTTTCAGGTTTTACCTCTAGATGAACCAGTATTCATCTAGACATGGAGAACTTTACCAACATGAAGCACTTATTCACCAAATTAATAATCACATACCTACAAATCTTTGACCATATTCAAAAACCAAATATACTGGCATTATACATGAAGAAGCCTTGATTGAAGCATACATTAGGATTGGCCAAGATTCGAAATGCTTGACCCTTGGTTCTACTAGTAACTAGACTTGAATCTTGGTCTCTTCCAAATCTCCACCTGAAAATAGATCAAAATTGTAGAATTAAAATGGCCCTAAGATACAAATCTGGGGTTATAGCATTAAATTTTATCACATAACCAGGATAATTACACAATACTGATTTTAAGGAAATAACTTCTCATAAAATTAAAGGTTTAAAACGTTAAATTAAAAAGGTTTCTAAAAGCATTCGTGTCAGAAATCTTAGAGCACCTATATGAAGCACAAGGCATATGTTAAACCTTTTGCTTTTACTCACTATTTCAGCAAATGGTGGGAAAAAAAACTGTCTTCATCAGCAAAGGAACTATCAATTTCACAAAGCTAAGTCAAGAGGTCCAAGAGTACAGTCATCTAGCAACGAGTTTTAGCATAAACCCGTTTCACAGTTTCCCTTTCATCAATCATCAACACAACGGTTTTATAATAATCAGAATAGTGAAGAATCAATTAAACAAAGTATTAGAGTATTAGCTTGATCGAAATAGTGAAGCATCAGTTACACAAAGCATTGAAGAATTTGCTTAACACAGGAAATATAAACATACAATTTCAAGTTATGAGAAATACATCTTTCATTTCTGCCCCTGTAATATATACCACAATAGTCAAGGATGCCCAAGTTTCCTTCTTATTCCCCCCCCCCAATTAAAGCAGCTACTTTTACGGATTATATTATAATCAAATTTATGCAAAACCCAGACCGTAAAAAAAGAAAAAAAATCATTGGCAACACGAGAGTAAAATTACTAAAGGATGATTGACTTGACTCTGAAAAGAAATGGAAGAAAGTAAGGAGCAAAATGAGATGTGGGTAATAGACACAACGTAGAGGGATGTTCACCTGAAGATGGTGGTAGAGCGATGATGAAATTGAAGGTTAGAAGAGGAAAATAGGAGAATTCCATTGATGAAAGGCTGTGGTTGCAGAGATGCGGACATGGCCATCATATCTCCCCGAGTGTTTTCTTTTTAATTCCCACGTCTTCTTTATCCGTTTTAATATATTTGCATTATGCGATCTAACGTCTTAATATACGGTTAAAATAAAGAGTTACTAATTTTATTATTATTTTAAATAATAAAATTGATAAAAAAATAATCGAAAACATCAATATTTAATATGGTCATACTTGGGAAATTTTTCTATCACTATTATTTGTATTCTTAGTGTAATATCTTAAAATTGGGGTTAGCAACTAAAATGAAAATTTTGAAACTTTGAGGTTTGATTTTGAAAGATTAAAAAGCATAAGAAAATAAATATGAATATTTAAGTAGTAGATTAAATTGCAAGGACGTAAAGAATGAAGGTTATTATGGTTTTTTCAACATTAAGGATATTTTCTCTTCTTTATTTAAGGATAAACACGTGGGATTTAAGGGAGAAGTCTGGAAGCTTATTCTTCTTCTTGCTTTCTTCTTCCCGTGAGCTCCTTGGTTAAGGTGAGTATGATTTCTGTGGACCATTTCTTAATGTTTAAGTGAGTTTTGATTCTTAAGGTATTAAGAAAGCTTAAGAAAAGCTTAAGTCATCTTAAAATCAAAGAATGATGAAGTTATGAGAGATTAAGAAAAAGGAGTTTTTAAGTGAATTATTGAAATAGAAGGTTTAAATGAATTTGGAAGTCGAATTTGACTTGTCATCTATGAGAATAAGAAGTTATAAGAATTAGAATTAAGTTTAGATAACATGGAAAATATGGTAAGATTCTTGGTTTTAAGGATTTGGGAAATATATGGAAGAAAATAAGGTGTTGGAATGATAGAAGTTGGTTAAGTGATCATAGTTAAGTTTGGTAGCATAACTAGGGCTTAATACTGGAAAATTGGGTGAAGTGTTGATAATTTTCGGGTAAAAACAGCCGATTCTGGGAAGGTGCATCGATGCACTATGAATGTGTACCGATGCACTAAGAATAATTTTGAATATGCATCGATGTACATTAGAAGGCATCGATGCATGGTAATTTCGAAGCTATTTTGTGTACCGATGCACCTATAGTGCATCGGTACACCCCTAAAGGAAAAAGTGAATATTGGTCTGTTAAATTCATTCAAGTTATTAGCATCAAATTACAAGGTGTAGATATCTGATAATTACCTTAAAATGTATATTTATGTAGATATCGAGCACGAACAAGTTCCGGAACGATTATCAAGTTGTGATTTGATCGAAAGAAAAGAAATCATAAAAATGGATTGGAACTTAGTGAGGCCAAGGTGAGTACATATTAGTGATGTATAATGAATGGAAACAAGACTCGCGATGAGTCTATTTCCTATGGTAGTATGCATAAAATCATGAGCATGATCATGGGTGTAAGATGAGTATATGTGATATTTATGATTATATGTACTACATGATTTGTATGTGTGCATGACTATATAATGGTGGTACGAACCTATAGGATAAACACTATAGAAACTATGATATATGAATTATAAAATGAAGAACTATAAAATCCCTGTGAGAAGGATTATAGGTGTTATATGAAACTGAATTAAATAAATAGAGTAAACTAGTATTTAAATATGGTGAGATAAGTGATATAAGTCATACGTTATTATAAAGATTAGTCTAATAAATCATGTAAATTGGTAAAAGGGAAATGAGACAAGATAAGTAGCAATTACATATAAAATTCAAATAAGATTATATGAATAAGTAGCGTAAACTATATAAGGGAGACTTAGATATTATACGATTTAAGCCTGAAATGAACATAAGATATAGTCAAGTGAAATTATTATGTGATATGAGTATATGAATATGTTAGATAAGTAATATAGGAAGGTCGATATGTTAAATGAACTATGATCTAAAACTGTTAGATGTTTTATATGATATGAATTATAGTATCAAAGTACTTGAAATCATATGAGGATGTTATAAGAATTAGAAATATAAAGTATATGGCATTAATGTATCAATTATAGGAAAATGAGTGCATGATGTTGTATAAATTATAGAAATTGGTGTAATGAAATTATATGAATAAGTGAAAGAGTAAAATAAGTTAAGCGACATTGACCTAAATTATATTATGAATTACTGGTATAAGAATATGATATAAAATATGCAATACGAATCTATATGTTAAATGATAAATATGAACCTATTAGAACAAGAGATAAGATATGTGACTATGGGTATTGAATACGTATCTATGTGATATGACCTATGAGATCATATGAAATATTATATGACTAGGTGATTATACGAAAAAGAATACAATTATATGTGATAAGTTCTGTGATATGTGAATCATACGAAAATATTCTACGTGTAAGTGAACCATGTGTCTATGTGTATATGTGAATGTGTGATAACATAGATATTAATGCCCATGTTATGTGACATGAGAGCTAGAGGTATAGTTGGCATGCCAAGAGTCGAGGGTCTACGCAGTCCTTCGGGACATATATGTATTCTTTGGAACATGTATGAGGTCTTTTGAGACACATATTTGGTCCTTGACATATGTATATGATTCTTAAGGAATTTTCTACGTGGTCCTTAGGGACATTTTATATGGCACTTCGGTGCAATTCTACGCGACACTTCGGTGCAACTCTACGTGACACTTTGGTGCATTTATACGAGCTGTGGTGACAACATTAGTGCACAACCTCAATAGACTTACATATCTATAGTTCTCACAGTGTACATGGGCTAATCAAGAGAAAATAACAAATACACTATATGTGATATGTATGTTTGGTATAATTATATATGTGCTATATGATGTGTATGCATGGTGAGTAAAAGGTAATATGATCAAAGAAATCAATGATAATGATAAGAATTATAATAAAAATAAAGAATTTATATGCATATGTCTGTAGTTATGTTTGATACATAATGCATTCCATAGTCTATGAAGTCTACATGAAGTATGCATAATAGCAATTAGAAATGGTATGTTATAGTAAATTTAGCTATGCCTCACTAAGTCATAGACTTAGCGTGTGATTGTTTCACACGTAAGTTACAGAAGCGAGAAGAGAATCTAAGTGGAGCAAGACAGGTTAGCATCTTCCTTACAATGTTTCAGATCGGAAAAGAAATGTTTGATATGTATTTGATTCTTTTAGATATAGTTGGCATGTAATATAAACTATTTGAATAGCATATGCTCTGATAAGTTTGAAAAAAATTTATGATGAGATAATATTAAGTTCGAGAAATTTTCATTATTTTAAATAAGTAAAAGTTTTAAAAGTTGATGTGACACCTCGGACTCGAATCCGAGTTGGATACGGGTTGGGGGTGTTACACTTAGCCCATTAAGAATAATCCACCCCTATGCTACAAAATACAAATATAATCTCGCATAATTAGTAACGTGAAACTCTAATATATACTTTTTTTTTATTTTTTACTGCTTTGATTTTTGTTTAATCGACGACGACTTCAATCTTAGTATTAATTATCGATCATGGATGATTATTATTTTTCTTGTTCTTTACCATATTGTATCTTTTATTATTTTTTCTTGAGTTTTTCAGTTTTGAATAAGAATCTTTGTTGTGATACGCTTTTCTTTGCTCTTTTGACGATCTTTTCCCATGCTCTCGTGACATGTTTCTTATGGCGTTTGGTACGTTTTTTTTTGTACATCTCACGTTGGTGCTCGTACAAAGATCATCATGACATTTATTTTTTTAATCAGTTTGTTGGTGGTCACATATTGTCAGATCCCCTTTAGTAAAAGGTTGTTTGTCGATATAATCATAATTGTGTAGCGAAACATCCTGTCAAATTGTTTGGTTCACTTATCATTTCGTAAAACATATCGTTCGATAGAGATAGTGAGTTTTATTAAGGTTACTGAGTTCATTTGATAATGGATGTCATTCTTAAAGGAAGACTTCATTTTTTTTGTATCTTTAAATATAATATTTTTGTTTTATGTATGAATTTTTTTATGACTAGTATCTCCATTTCTCTCTCTATGTTTGAATATGCTGTAATTTTGATTTCTTTCATTACTTTTATTAATGAGATCTAATTGTAATTATTAAAAAAAACTAACTTACATATTTCAATTTTATGTATAATAAATAATATTATAACCATTATGTTGACGGAAGAAAATAAATCTTAAGTAAAATTTATATATTTATTTTTCAAATGAAATGCAACTTTTTAAAATAAAATTATTGTATTTTATAGATTGTAAAATTATATTCCCAGAAGTATGTAAAATTTATATATTTATTTTTCAAATGAAATGCAACCTTTTAAAACAAAATTATTGTATTTTATAGATTAAAGAAAGGAGAGTTTGTAGAGGTGGATTTTCTTTTTGAATTGAGAAACTTCACTAAATTTGTGAATCAACAGAACTTCATGATATCAAAGTCCTTAAAATAAGTAAGAAAAAAAAAACTCCATTGTTTTTCTGGAGAAAAAAAAGTAATTTCAACCATTAAAAGCAAACAAAGAACAAAAAACAACCCACAAATTAAAAAGAAAAAATAACCTCAATGACCAAAAATGCCTTATAATATACGATTTTAAGCAACTTTTTTTGGATTTGCCAAAATGACCAACTAAATGCGATTGATAATTCGCAACGTGATATCCGGTATCGCAAATCAGTTTCCAGATTCGCAACGCGAACTTCGACTATCGCAACGACTGGTTGTTGAGTGATAGAGAACAAGAGGGACTCTCGCGCGCCGCCGCCGCCGCCGTCCGTCTCGTCTCGGGTCGTGGTCGTGGTAATACGTGTCTTCGACACGTCCACGCGAATACTATCTTTTTAGAGAAAATTCTTAAGAAACAAATGCAATACCACCAGTCGTTGCGATTTTGGACTATCACAACGCGAACTTCGACTATCGCAACGAATTTGGAAAATCGCATTGCGATAGTCGAAGTTCGCGTTGCGATAGTCGATGTTCACATTGCGAATCTGGAAACTGATTTGTGATACCGGAGATCGCGTTGCGAATTATCGATCGCATTGCGATTTAGTTGGTCATTTTGGCAAATCCA